AAGAAGTCTCTCAGGGGGTTTTTCTATTGTACCGGGTTAAACCGCCCCATGCACCCACGTTTCAAACGTCTGCACAAAGCACAAGAGGAGACCCCCCCAAAGGCACACATTCTAGAATGCCTCCCTGGGGTTTTTGGGGTTATTAAAATGAGAAGCTGCGGTAAAAAACTGAGGCGGAAAGGGGTGAAAGGGAGTCATCAAGGGGAGGATGAAAAAGGGAAACCCTCATAAAACATTTGGGGTGGGAGTAAAGATCCCAATTTGCCCGATCAATTGCCAGCGAAGGGGTACGGAAAGGTGGTGAATAGGAAAGGAGAAATAAGAATGGGTCGGGGAAAAAGTCACTGTCATGTAAATCTTGGGTAGAAAAAGACCCGGTGAAGTTTATTTCAGTGGAGGAAAAAAAAAGGGCTGATAGTCGTGGGAAGAGGAGTTTGAGTCGAGGATCAAAAAGGGGGGGGAGTACCCCCCCTTTTTTAAAACATGGAAGGGGGGGGTGAGAGGCGAGGGGAAAAACCCCCAACTGGATGCCCGTGGGTCACAATGAGACCCCCCCCAGGGGGAAATGGTGGGGAAAATTTAAAATCACCAAGTAACGAAGTGGGGGTGGTAAGGATGAAAACAAGGAAAAGGGAAAGTCTGGGATAGAAAATGCTCGAGGGGGGGAGGAGTATAAAGAAAAATATTTAAAACCCTTATTCAAGTGGATACGGGCTGCAGGGGTAATTTCAGCGGGGGTATGGACAAATAGTTGACGTACGGAAAAATTATTTCGTAGAAGAAGGGCACTTTCATTAAAGGTCCCATTTGAGAAAAGGGTCCGAAGAATCAATAAATTATAGCCTGAGGGTAGGTTGGGAAAAAACCCCCCGAGTGTAATTTTGGTTCTTTGTAAGCAAGGGACCCAAAGGGGGGGGAAAAACCCGGAAAAACAACATCTGAAACTCACCCCGATTTTCCCCTGGGGCCGCGGATATTCCACTGTTAAAAAGGCCTTTATTGGTGATGAAAGGGAAAAAATTGGAAACGTAGGAAAGGGGACCCACGGGGCTAGGGGGTTTAAAAAAATCAAAAGTGTGGTGGCCCCTGGAAGACGTTCAAGTAGCGAAGGCGAAGCTTTTCGAAAAAATGGGGTTGTGAAGATGGAGGGAGGGAAGGGGAAGGAACGGAAGTAAACAGTGTCCATTGAAAAGGGGTTTTGTCTCTGCAATATTTTTCTGAAATGGCTTTTTAAGTGTTTCTGAATTTTAAAGATGTATGGGAGGGGGCCCTATTGGGAAAATAAAAGGGGGATGAGGGGGAGTAAAGATTTGGGACAGTTTAAAGGGGAAAAATGTTCCAAAAATAGGGGGGAGGGAAGAGTGTAAGGGAAGGAGATGACGTTTTTGGGGGGGGGGGGGGGGGGCAGGGAAAAGGGGAAAAAAACCTTTTGGGAAAAAGGGGGGCAGAAGAGGGAGAAACTTTTGGGGGGGGGACGGGGGGTTTGGGAAGGGATTTGTACGAGGGAGGGGGTGAATCCCCCCACTTGTAATAGAGCCAGAGAGGGGGGGAAGAACTAGGTACGAGACTGGAAAAAGGGAAAATGTGGGGGTGGAAAAAAAAGGGAAAGGAAAAAAAAAAGGGGCAAAGAAAAATTTGAGCAAAGTGGGTTTTTTTGGGCTTTGAGTAGAGGGCGATTGGTATTAGGTTGTAGGGGGTCTTGTTGATTTGGGGTTGTGGGAAGGACGCGAAGTTTTGAGAAAAAAAGGGACTGAGTTGTAAATCGGGGCGTCAGAGCCAAGGACGCCAAAAAGGAAATTAAAATGCCGTAGTGGGTATGGGAGGGGTAACAACAGGGAGGTGCAGAAAAATGGGACCCAGAAGTGGGGGGATGGTTGGAAAAACCGAGAATAAAAAAACACGGGGGGGGGAGTCTCCCCTTGGGGGGGGGGAAAATGGTAACTTCCTGCATAAGGGAGGGCCTTCTGCCTCTTTTTAGGCAAAGGGTTTTACGTTCATTTTTTAAATAGACCTGGCAACGGCAAAGGGGTTTCAAAGGGTGAGCTTTATTACAATTAAGGCAAAATGGGGGGTTGACTGGCCAAAATTTTATTAGAAAGGGCGGGCGGCCCCACAGCTGGGCCCTTCGGCCCTAGATCTGCAATATTTTATGGGTGGGCCCCCAAAAAGGCAGCCCAAATTTTTACATTGTTGCGGGTGTAGGTATCACCTTTCGAACTTGTTTAACCCATTGGGCCCGCGAATATACGAGGACGGGGGTTCTCGGTGTCAAAAAATTTAAAAGAGCCCCTTGCAAGGGTTAAAGTCTTGCCCCCCGGGGGGAAGGACATAAGTGTTTTATTTGGGATTGGGGACCTGGAGTTCCAGCTGTTCAAAAAAGTCATTGCCACATGACTGGAAATTTTTGTTGGATATGGTTTTGGGGCCCGAAAAAGAAAGACAAATTTCCCCTACAAGAATTTAGAAGGGAAAAATGTTTTTAATAGTGGGCAGGGGGTTGTTTCGATATTCGAAAGGAGAAAAGTTTTTGAGGGTTGGGCAGCATTCTGGACAGTATGATGCGCCCTACCCTCTTGAGGCATGAAATGAAATAAATTTTACCAAAAAAATGAACCCGGAAGGGGCCACTTTTCAATTTCTATGGTCAGAAAGGTAGGGAGAAGAAGAATCGGTCTTTAAAATAAAGGGGAAAATTTTTGTCCATTGTGTGGTCCGAACCCAGCGGGGAGAGGGAAGTGCTTTACGTGTCGGTCTTTTCCGGTAAAGGGGAAAGGGAAGGTACGAAGGGGTCATCAGGAGATTGACGTTGGGTTTTAGGGGTAGGACCGGAAATTTGGTTCCCGGGGTGGAAATGGGTGGGCGAAAATTTGAAAAAATTTCCCTTACCGTTTGGGGAGAAGCCGGGGGGATAGTCAAAGGAAAAGCGGGTTTCAGACAAATCGAAGGATCAGGGCGAAGCCCCCGGAAATGAAGCGGGGAGGAAAAAAAGCACCAGCAAGAGGTTTCAGGGGCAATCAGGAATGTCCCAAAAGGGTTTTAAACACAAGGCAGGGTCAGGGAAAGGGGGGCGGGGATCAAGAAGGGGCCCGGGGGGGGTGGGTTCATGGACTTGGGCTGCCATGGTTAGGTTAAATCCTTTTTCTTTTTTTTTTTAAAGAAAAAGAAAAAAAGAAAAGAAAATAAAAATAATAAAAAAGAATAAAAAAAAAGGGGGGAGCGGGGGGGAAAAGAAAGGGCCGGGAAATTTCCCCCCGCGCCCAAAGTGGGCCTCAAAAACCGCTAAATAGCGAGGGTTTCAGCATGGAACCCGTGCCATTTCCCCCCTTTTTTGCCAAAAATAAACCCGGGAATCCGGGGTAGCAACCCCACCCCTCTGCCGAGCTACCTCGGTGGACAAAAAAAAAGGGGCAGCCGGATATCCGCCACAAAGCATACCTCCTTCCGGCCACCACCCCTGGAATCCGAAAGGTGGCTTCCAGAGATCACCCGTCGCCAAAAGATCCCAAAAAGCTACTCCGGGATCCCGGGAGAGGGGATGGGACATCCCCGGGCAATCCAGATTCCAGGGGAAAAATACCCCACCGCAAAAAACCTAAAGGGAAAATGGGATGGACCCGGGTTTTTCCCCCCACCTAGGATGTTGGGAAAGACACATATGAACAGTAAGGTACTTTATTTCGAACGTTTCCCCCTCACAGTAGGCTTTTCAGTCGGTACGGGAAAGTTGATAAAAGCAGAAGAGATTGAAGACGATGTAATACCCATCCCCCCTTAAAAGTTTTGAGGTGGTCAGCCCCTCAGTCTGGAGAAGAGCATTCCCCCATAGTTGAAAAATTGGAGTTGAAGTACAGGATGGACCCTTATATAGCGAGGAGGTGAGACTTTTAGGTAATAGAAGAGGAAAAAGAACGAGATGTTGGGAGGTAGGTCCTCTCAAATCACCCGTTCCCCTAGTGGGGTTTGCGAAGTTGTTTGGGTTTCCCAAGTACCCTTGTGTTGAGTGTCTGACAGATTGAACATTAAAATGGTAAAAAAATACCGACAGGTTGTTGGTAAGAAAATATGAAAACAGTAAGGTTCTTTTTTAAAAATGAAATAAAATACCTTACGTTGCATATGTGTCTTACCTAACAACCTGGGGTTTTTATACCATTTTAAACCCCCCTCCCTAGGAACTAGCGGCCCCTGGGGGAGAAACCCAAAAGGGCCCAAAAAGGGAAGGGCAAAAGGGGGGGGTGGGAGAAGGGAAAAAAAGGGGAGGAGGGGATGGGGAGGGGGGGGAATGGGGGGTAATTAGGTTCGGTCTGGGAAGAAGCCGCAGGGCTAACCCCCAGCCCCAAGACCCCTTCACCGCCAAGGAGCCCCCTTGAAGAGGAATATATTTCAGACTGTGATGTGGGGATGGAGCCAGCCTCTGCCTTGTCCTAGCCTATGTCAAACGATGCTGAGCCCGAGGTAGCTAGCTCCCCTGCACTCAAGCTGTATCCGTGACGTCACACAAAACAGTCACGGGCCTAGGGATTCCTAAAAAAAGACATGGTGATCTGATATGCTAAAACACAGGGATCAGCAACTATGCGACATTCAGGGAAACTGTTTTTTTTACTGGACTTGTTTGGAAATGGGGAAGTACAATGCCTAATTTAAAGGAGGGGGTTTGGGATTTGCAGTTTGGGGGGGATGTGTTAAAAGGAGGGATTTATATAAGGGGCCCGTATTATATTTTATGGAGTTTATTATTTACTTCAGGTCCTTTTTTTTATTGTATCTTTGAAGCATATTAAATGTTGTTCTGGGGGTTTTTCCTCTGCAAAAACATAATGCAGGTGGAAAACCCCTTGTAAAGGGGTGAAAGTTTTTTTTGGGGAATTTTTTTTTTTGGGGCAACTGCCCCAAGGGGAGGGCGCCGACTTGTTGAAAAAAAAAAAAAGTTGTACCGTACTGAGTAAGAAAATATTTTCATATTAACATCTTGCCAAAAGAAGATAATTACTACATACCAGTTTTTATTATTGCAGTAATTCATGTTCAGTGATATTATTCTAAACCCAGGTCGCACAAGAACTGAGTAAAATGCTCCTTTTCTTATTGATGGAGAGGTATCTTGTGGCAACCAGCGTCGCCACTGTCGATCTAACTCATCGTACAACCAGCTGACACTATAATCTCCCAAGATGTATGGTGGGGGAAAACTGAAAGCATAACAAGAATGCATTCTTTGGTCTACACAGTACAGGCGTGTCTGGCTATATGCAGTAGATGAATTCACAGCTCACAGCAGCTGTACTAACCTTATTCAGGGCATCAATACTTTTTTTTTTTTTCAGCAAACTGGCCGTATCCCACCAAGGCAGGGTGGCCCAAAAAGAAAAACAGAAGTTTCTCTTTTTAAATTTAGTAATTTATACAGAAGGGGTTACTAGCTCCTTGCTCCCAGCATTTTAATCGTCTCTTACAACACACATGGCTTACGGAGGAAGAATTCTGTTCCATTTCCCCATGGAGGTAAGAGGAAATAAACAAGAATAAGAACTAGAAAGAAAATAGAAGAAAACCCAGAGGGTGTGTATATATATATATACGCTTGTACATGTATGCGTAGTGTGACCTAAGTATAAGTAGAAGTAGCAAGACATACCTGTAATCTTGCATATTTATGAGACAGACAAAAGACACCAACAATCCTACCATCATGTAAAGCAATTACAGGCTTTCGTTTTACAGTCACTTGGCAGGACGGTAGTACCTCCCTGGGTGGTCGCTGTCTACCAACCTACCACCTACAGCATCAACACTTAACCCCACATAATAATAAAATACGTTTTGCAAACCACACTGATTACATACAGTGTATGTATAATGCACATTTGGAATTACATTATTGCTATGACAGTGACAATGCACAATAAGGAATTCACATAAAATGAGGAAAATCTGCAAATTTTTATTGTAAAAGGCAGTGTTGAACAAAGTAGCTGAGATGCCCTAGGAAAAGATCTTTTCAGCATTTTTCTTCATTGCTTTTCCTTTCACTCTGTGTGTGCATGTGTGCATGCATGCATCACATACTATACACTTCTTGGGTAAATCCAAATTTGGTTGGTATTATTTAACATTAATTTAAACACAGTACTCTAATTTCTTTTTGCAACAGTGACTTCCCTATGTACTCATGATACAAAGAATACTTTGTGGTATAGACAGGAATGTAGCAATAACAAGATATGACTGAAAATTACATTATCTTTAACACAGAAGGAAGTGTAACACAATGACAGAGTCAAAGAAGATTCCATAGAAGTATTTAAAAATAGATATGGCAAGTCTATTTCGTGTTAATCAAAAGTTGAGAGCTGGACCTAGTCGTAGAGATCCCACTACTGAATATTAAATAGGTATTAACAAAGAAAGTAGGCAGTATGTTGGTAAACAGACAGTAACATCCCAGAGAGGTACTTCCATCCTGCCAAGTGGGTGTATACAAATTTTTATTTCTTTGCAAGTTTACATTGAGATTCTGTTACAATAATGAGTTGCAGTGCAGAGAGAGCCACTATCATGCCATGGCATTATGGGCAGACTTAAAATAATGGCTTACAGACTATCTAATACTAGAGAAATTGATCACAGTTTGTTAAAGCAGACAGTAGGTTACAGTCAAGTTTCAATCAAGTTATAAAACTGGGGATATTACACTGGGACAATTTTAAAGTATTTTGTAGGTTGTGCATATCAATAGTAAATATTTAAGTTATAATACTGGAATATAATACTGAACATTGGTGAAAGTAGTTTACAGTATGAGAATGCTACAGTATGGGGTAAGGCAGTATTTATTCTACAGTGTAGTATTATGTATGAACTTTGGGTATTTAAATTTTGAAATGTTAAGATTTAGGTAATTGGGAGTTTTTTTTGGGGGTAAATTTAAGTACTGAGTATTGAATATTTAGTATAGGGTGAGTAGACGGTTTTTGAGAAGTCTTAAATTGATGTTCAGACTGGGTTACTTTAGTATTTACTGGTAAGGAGTTCCAAATTTTGGGGCCCTTTGTGTGCATAGAGTTCTTACATAGTGTGATGTGGACACGGGGTACATCGAAAAGTGATCTGTGTCTTGTGTTATGGTTGTGCGTCCTGTTAAGGGTGGTGAGGAGAAGTTTGAGTGAAGGGTTTATGTTTGAATGTAATGTTCTATGTATGTAGTAGGCGCAAGAATAAGTAAGATGTTCTTTACGGTGAGTAGTTTTAGACCTTTGTATATTGGTGGAGTATGCTGCCTGGAGTGGGAATTTATCATTATTCTGACTGCAGCCTTTTGCTGGGTTATTAGTGGTCTTAGATGATTTAATGTTGTTGATTCCAATGCACAAATTCCATAGGCGAGATAAGATTATGAGTAATACAGTGCGTGAGATAAGATTATGAGTAATACAGTGCAAGGAAGAGCTGATTGTGGAACATAGTACTGTATCTTTGATAGTATGCCTACTGTCTTAGAGATTTACTTGGAAATTTGTTGTATATGGGTCTGGAATTAAAGGCTACCTGGAATTAAAGACGCACCTCTGTGCGTCTTGTGATGGGTGATCCATTTAGCTTTATGTTAAGTGGAACATTTGTGGCTCTGTTTCCAAACTGAATGAAATAGGTTTTGTCAGTATTGAGTGTAAGCTTGTTAATCATCATCCAGGCAGATATTTTCTGCAATTCAGCATTAACAGTGTTGGCCAGTATGACTGGGTTTGGGTGAGAGAAGACGTATGCTGTGTCATCTGCAAATAATATGGGTTTGAGTAGTTGAAATGCATTCGGTAGGTCACTGATGTAAATGAGAAACAGGAGAGGGCCAAGGACACTTCCAAGTGGGACCCCAACTGTAATTGGTTGTGTGGAAGAGTTAGCTCCATTTGTGTACACATATTGGCTTCTGTTACTAAGGTATGACTTTAGGAAACCTGTAATTGTTTTACATGATGGTAGGATTGCTGGTGTCTTTTTTTTTCTGTCTCATAAACATGCAAGATTGCAGGTATGTCTTACTACTTCTACTTATACTTAGGTCACACTATACATACATGTACAAGCATATATATACACACACCCGTCTGGGTTTTCTTCTATTGTTAGTTCTTGTTTATTTCCTCTTATTTCCATGGGGAAGTGGAACGGAATTCTTCCTCAGTAAGCCATGCATGTCGTAAGAGGCGACTAAAATGCCAGGAGCAAGGAGGCTAGTAACCCCTTCTCCTGTATACATTACTGAAGTTAAAAAGAGAAACTTTTGTTTTTCTTTTTTGGGCCACCTTGCCTCAGTGGGATATGGCCAGTTTGTTGAAAGAAAGATGATTAACGAAAACTATTTACCTCAAAACTATCTTGTACACATTATGACAAAAGACTAATGCTGTCATCTTACCTATTTACAGGAGCAGCTTCATGGTTCCCAAGAGCTGGAAATATTGGTGTGTAAGGAAAATAATCCATAAGCTGCTGAACAGTTGCTCTCATAACATTCAAATTGCTTTCCCTTGTCTGATTCCAAATATCATGTGGTGGAAGATCACCCGTCCAAATGATGTAATCAATGTTCTGATAAAAGATTGTAGGAAAAGTCAAAATGTAAGACCACCCCTCCAAATGATGTAGTCAAATTTATAAATGAATAAACAGCAACCCATATTGCTTAATGATATCTGAAGCGCTTGTGATCCAACCTAAATACCTGCCATTCCCCAGGTGCTGTATGACTCCTAGCATTTAATATTGACACACAAACATCAAATTTCTCACAGGATTGTATAACCCATTTATGAAATTCCACAATTTTTTTTGTTTGGTATTCAGTAATAAATGTTTGAAACATTTAACAATTAAAACATAATAATAATTTTATAAGTATATTAATACTAATTATAGTAAATAATAAATTAATACATTTCAGTAAAAGATAAACAGTAATGATACTCACAGGATGTAGATAAGCAATGTTGTCCAGCATACTTTCTATGGTTCTCAAGGGTGTGTCACACTTCCTGTAATCTCCCCATAATCCTGCTCTCTTGTCTAGAGATTTGACAGGGCCAGAACTAGCCCGACAACATAAGGGTTCACCACAGTCTGCATTTGATCCTGCTCTGTATTCCGGATCAAAGTGAGTATCTGACAGGTGCAGAACTTTCAGTGTTGGCATTCCCTCCTGCAGAAAAACGGCAATTTAAACTAAGTGTTTCAACACCCAGAAAAAAACAAGGTAAAAATAATACTGTATAGAGAGAAAAGCTTTAAACAAAATTCGGCTTCTCCTGAAAATTATAATACAGTGGACCCCCGCTTAACGATCACCTCCCAATGCGACCAATTATGTAAGTGCGTTTGTACGTGTATGTTTGGGGGTCTGAAATGGACTAATCTACTTCACAATATTCCTTATGGGAACAAATTCGGTCAGTACTGGCACCTGAACATACTTCTGGAATGAAAAAATATCGTTAACTGGGGGTCCACTGTACAGTGGTCTCTCGAGTTATGATATTATACATTCCAGAAGGCATATCGTATATCAAAAATATCATAACTCAAACTCCAAAATACATTGTTTTATAGTAATTTGTGTCAAGATGCCAGAACACCCAACTTACCCTCGGATGCTTGTTGAAACACACTGGGATCTTCCGAGTGATAAACAAGCATAGGCTGCAGCTTGCAATCTGCTGAGGAGGCAAAGCAGGCAAGACAGGGCAGGCCAGAGCAGGTATGGAGTGATCTCCATTTAAGAACCTTTCATCACCCTGCCTTGTCTCTGAGCTGGGGCCCACCCAACCCTGCTCGACCATCTTATACTTATCAGATCTCAAGTTTTTTCATGGCAACTCAAAACTAAATTCTTTCATGAGGGTAAGTCATAACTCAGGGGATCACTGTGTACATATTGGATAGCCCACTGAATTAAGAAAGCATATGAAAACAAACTGCGACTGAAATTTTAAATTCATGTTTATTTTACAGGAAGTCTATACGTATACAGCACTGCTACTGAACCAACGTATTTTCATTAAAATATGAATCCAAATGAAAACTCTTACACAAATAACATCCATGAATATTCAACTGCATATATTGTAATCAATTTGATTAAGCTTACCATAGGAGGTTCTGGTTGGGGTATTGGAGGTTTGGGCACAGGTGGGAAGGCCACACGCCATTCATGGTAAGGATTATATGGAGTGCCACAAATATCTCCTATCAGAAATCCACATACTTCATCTGGACTCATTACTAAGTTTTCTACCACATAAACCACTTCATCCTGAAACACACCTCACCAGATTTAGTTAGTAAATAGCAAAACTTTCAAAATATATACTGCATTACAAACAGGATAGAAAATTTACAATAATACATTACAATCATGTGTCGCTTAAGCGATTTTGTCGTTGTCCAGTCATAATAAAGTGTAGTTACACAAACCTAGATGATATAGCCTACTGCACACCTAGGTTATATGGTATAACTTAGAGACTATGATGAATAAAACAACATGAGATGAAATCAAGCACAAGGGAAAAATGATGCTATCAAAAGACAGTAAACACATGATGTATGAGGCATCTGCCAGCTTAACATGAAATATTGTTTTACTGTAAATTTTTTTATAAGCAGAAAGAGTACTTTTTTTTTTTTTTTTTTTTTCAACAAGTCGGCCGTCTCCCACCGAGGCAGGGTGACCCAAAAAAAAAAAGAAAGAAAATCCCCAAAAAGAAAATACTTTCATCATCATTCAACACTTTCACCACACTCACACATTATCACTGCTTTTGCAGAGGTGCTCAGAATACAACAGTTTAGAAGCATATACGTATAGAGATACACAACATATCCCTCCACTCTAGAATAACAATAAAATGTACAGTATAGTAAATATATAAACCAGTAACATAATTGTTTATTATCAAGTACTATACCTTTATACGACTGGCAGCACAGCATGTTTGTTTACCCCACCATCATATATGTGGTCTGTCATTAATAGAAACGTTGTGGCACATGACTGCATATGTTAACAAGGTAGTAGTAAATCATCAAGGACACTGGCTTTCCGGACAAAGGATTAAGCCTTCACCTCTCCTTACATCAAATAATTCACATGGATTCAGCATTTCACATTCAACAGGTCTGTCACTGCTGAAAGGAAGTCTAGTTCCATTAGGAGATCCCTCAGAAAATGAAGCAGTCAGAGGCCTGCTGATTGCCTGTTGAAAATTGTGGAGATCCTCTCCACTATCCCACTCCTATACCAGGCCTCCCTGTGAACACCTCACCCCTCTAGGGAGGTTCTTTGATGATGATGAGGGGCTCTCGATTCTAGAAATTTGATTTGTTCTTCCCTTCCTTGAATCTAACTTGATAGCCTCCCATTTCCCAGGCAATGTATGAACCCTATGAGTTGTAAATAGCGAATGAATTTTTAGTATCATTGCCTCGGCATGCATTCGTATGTTCTCAAGACTGTTTTAGATTGGCTGTGCTAATAGTTCCCAAGAGTTGTGAAAAATATTGAGCCAACAGACCAGTTGGATAGTGTGGAGCACTGCCAGTGCCTGAGCTGATATATCTCATTGTGATCCCAGGTTTATATTTTGGGCACACCATACATGTGTGCTAGTCTGGGTGTGAAAGGAATCAGGTGAAAAAGTCTATTTACCCTGTTCTGATTGCCTAAGGAAATCTCAGTTATTTCACACCCATACCAGCACATATGTAGGATCTGCCAAAATCACATGAACTTGGGATCTCAATGAGATCTATTATCTCAGACATTAGCAGTGCTCCACACAAACTAGCTGATCTATTAGCTAAGCATCTTTCACAACTCTTGGAAATTATTAACACAGCCCACCTAAAACACTCCAGAGAACACGTTAATGTTAATGTATGCCATAGTGATGACACTACAAATGCATGCACTCTATGCAAAAAGACCAAGAACTACCTTATGAACTTTCCACAAGAAACAATCCACAACTCAAAACTTGGGATCATTCACAATCTCCAAAGTTTTGGATGCTGTAGATGTTTATGGCAGGTTCAGTGCAAGATCAACTTCAGTAAGTATTCAAAATATAGAGTATTATTTTGATGGTCCAAGTATAACAACATATTTTAATGCATAACTTATGTTATGGTTCAGAGGATCATTTGAATTTCAATGTTTGAGCACATCTGGTAAGACAGCTACTAAATGAGTGATGGTGAATGCATTTCCTTCTTTGGGACATTGCTAGGAAGCTTCATCTGGAACTGGGCCACAGGGGTGATGACCCTTGGAATCAAGAGGTAGGAATGGTTGACCCTATCATGATTAGCAGTGGCTGTTTCATGTGGTAAAAAACACTTATACTTTACAAAGACCATGTTGCTTGTGGTCAAACAGTTTGTGTTAATCTAATATATATACTACAGTTAGTTTCAAATCATAAAAGACTTACTGCCATAAGATAGATGATACCCATACACACTCGTGGAGTCTCAATCTTAAAAGACATGCACAACCTGGAGGCTGCCTTGATGATGTCATCCCTTGTCTTGCCATTTTGAACATAATGCTGCAGGAGTCCCACACCTTCAAAGCAAAAACTACATTACTTGTTTTTTAAAAAAACTATTAGTTCAAACTTACAATATAACTAAAACAAACACACACACACACATTAATGCAGTGGATTTCTGATTATTCAGCAATTAATCAGTTTTTAACATTATCTGGCAGTCTTGTGCAATCCACCATCTAAAGAAATACAGTAACAAGATAAAGGATTGTGCAAGCAAAGGGACCAAATATTAAAGAATACCAGATGATCAATCAACCTACATTCTCCTTCACATTTATGACAGTACATGTGCAGCAAGCACCAGGATCCTACAACTACCAGAGTACCAGTAACCTAAATTTATCAATAAGTACCATAGATCAACATTTATCAACATATACCAATGACCTATACATACCAACAAATACTAGTTGTCTCAACTTACCAGCTTTACAGGCATTGCAGGACATGCTGGACATGATGGATGTTTCAATCTCTTTCACTACTTGTTCAAAATCAAGGAACTTGCCCAAGTTAGAAAGAAACTTAGGCAACCTGCTCTCCCCAATAAAGCGGCCCTCACGTTTGCTCAAACGATCCAGCTCCTCATCTATTTCCAAACGCAATGCTGTGTAGTTCAGCCTGATTGAGGTAAAATATCTAGTTATAATTCACATAAACTGTGGTCATAGTAGGGTGTAGAATATTAGTTTCCATAAGATATAGCATGTTAGATATGAGTAAATGGAGACCAATGCTTTTTGGGAGTAACAAGCTGTTGGAGTGTGGGTAGGGTAATATTTTGTGAAGAGATTCAGGGGAAACTGGTTAGCCAGACTTGAGTCCTGGAGGTGGGAAGTACAATGCCTGCACTTTAAAGGAGGGGTTTGGGATATTGGCTGTTTGGTGTGACATCAAAACTGTCCTATCTGGGTGCCTCTGCAAAGACAGTGATTATGTGTGAATGATGGTGAAAGTGCTCAATGATGGTGAAAGTGTTTTTCTTTCTTTGTGTCACTCTGCCTTGGTGTGAGACAGTCGGCATGGTAAAATACTTTAGTCAGGTTCACATACAGTTACAGAAAATTATAGTCTTTGTGTGTAATATCTGAGAATAGTGCATTTATTGATCAGTTTGTAAAAGTAATGCTAGCATATTGAGAAGTAGTGCAGGCTTGAAATACAGTAAATATGATTGAAACAGTGGAAATTATCGAAGTTGTTGATGAACAATGCTTTTAGAATATTTGGAAGTGAAATTGTAAAGGTTGGTGAAGGAGTTTAGGAGGGTATGTACAAAAAAAAAAAAAAAAAAAAAAAAAAAGTTGAAAATGAACAAGAAAAGAGCAATGAGAGGGGAGGTGTATGGAATAAATAAATGTATTTTACATATTTGGCAGATAGGCCTATGAAAGATGAGGTAAATCAAAGAATAAACAGGGAAAAAAAAGGGACTAATGTCAAGGAATCAGTGTAAATAAAGATTACTGATGCATGTAAATAACTGAATATACCAAAGTATAATGGTGTCAGCACTTCTGTAATGGCAAGGCATGGTCTTGTGTTGAATTAGGAATTTACCCCTGGTTACACTAACCTGGAGGGATCAAACTTCTCCACTTTCTCTTTTTCCAGTTGTGTGGTAGGAAGAGAGTGTAGCTCTTGAGGGATGCCATCTGACTCAAGGTTGTTGTACGAGTCCTCTGCATCAGGGTGGTCATGCTGCAGGTCCAAGGGCTCATCACCACCACCATGTATCAGGGTGGGATGCACAGGATTACCTGTACACCAAGAAAATTCACAATACAAAAGAGACATCATTTTTGGTAACTTTAAAAACTAAGTTAACAAGTGTTCCTAAAGTTTAAGGCACATTACGACTGGCATATTATTTGCAATTAAAAGATACAATAGTAGGTGAATCCTTAGGTGCAAATATAGAAGCACTGCATCATTCAAGGTTAAGTTGCAGAAAAATTATACACTGAATAACATATATTAGAACTGTAGCAACTTTATGAAGCCAATGGCATTAATGGAGAGGTTTAACCACAAATTCCTAGGCTATCAGTCATGGGGAGACTATACCCAGATATAAGCAAGTAAGGAAAGATTTTTCAACTCTGAGTAGTAACAATAATAATGGTAAACATACAGAAAATAAATTTTTTTTGGTGGTATTCTTATTTACAATTTTTCATTTTATATGTTACTCATTGCTCAATTCATTTATTTTTGCTATATGATCATTTGGAAAATGTGGTATGCATCTGTCTGGTAACAGTCAGGGTTTACAAGATTTGTTTTAGTTTTTCTTGGGGTTGATAATGAAGATTTAGGCAATTTTTTTCCAATGTTGTTTCTTTAAACAAATGATATATTTTTTGGTACACAAATGATATATTTTTTGGTACACAAATGATATATTTTTTGGTACTCCATACATGGGCATTTGTTGAAGGTGTGGAGAGTTAAATATCTGGGCAGCAATACCGCAGGTTAATACCATATTTTGTGGCTTATAAGACTTGTTTTAGTCTCTTTGGCTTGACATCAGACGTAACTGGGAGAGCTACAGCCCACCCCAAACTTACAGCTCCTGTCACTGACCTTCAGTTTGTAGGATGCAGGGTGGTTTCTGGAGACATTTCATGAAAAAAAAAAATGCTTCTAATAAGCCACGAAATACAGTAAATGTTGGGTTTATATTTACAAGAACACAATAATGAAGATTTATGCAGTACTTTCAGTTCTCTATGACCCCTGTGGGTGTAGCGCTTAGTTTTGATTATAATAATACGTAATACTACCTCTGTATGTTAGAAGTGATCAAGGCCCCAGGACCAAAACATTTTCTAATAAATATGTCATAGTGTTTGCTTACGTGTCTTTCTAAACCAACTTGTCGGTATTTATTACCAAGGTTTATACCAATACTATACGGTACTTTGCCTAAATATTTTTTATCAATGCATATATTTTGACTTCCACCTCATAACTGCCCAATTTAGTAAATGTGTGATGGATTTATATTATTTTGAGAGCAAGAGGTAAAAAACAAAATTAGCTTGAGGGGAAGGCCATTATCACTTCTTTTATGTGCAGGGAGTAAATGTATATTTGTGTTGGAAATCAAAATGACCATTATTACATTACTGTTGTAAGTATTATGATGAATAAAACACATGTTCAACACTTGGGTATCTTTATTGCTGAAATGTTTGGCCTGCACAGCAGGCTTCTTTAGTCCAATATAGGCAAATATAACACTGGAGACAGTAGGAGTAATCTGGAGGTGATCAGTTTCTCAGCTTTTACAGGCAGTGGTCAGTCCCTCAGCCTGAGGGACTGACCACTTCAAAATTAAGTTTACTGTCTTCAGTGTTATATGTATTTGCTTGTATTCGATTGAAGCTAGCTGCGCAGACAAAAACATTTTGGCAATTTAGATACCTAAAGTGTTGTATGTGTCTTATTCAACTTGTCAGTATTCTACACAGTACCATCAACATATTTGTTTCACAAAACAAATATTTTTACTGATAAGGTCTACACTGATAGCTAGAACTTCACACATTTGCAACATGCCGAGCCATTCATAATTTGGTAAAAAGAACTACTACTGTGATCAATATAAAGTATTTATATTTGAAGTGTTAGAGAAGATATATTATAAACAAGGCAAAAAAGTCTAAAGTGGATTTATGATTTTAATCATAGCTTAACAAAATCTAAAACACAGCAAGAAAATACTGTATATAAAATTAACCAGCAGAACACTTCAACTATCAAGTTCACCACCTAGCCCTTTTGTCTTACAAAAAGACTCATCTCTTCTGAAAGTCCACTTACTGTAATTTAAATACTGAAGACTTACCCAGAGTAATGAAGAGATGCCCATGGAAACTTATCTGCTGTATTTGAGCGGGTAAAAATGCGCAGGAACCTCGCATATTGTGAGACAGCGAGTGGGTTAACTTACCTACTGCAATGAAACCATGCTTAGGAAGTGAGTAGATGAAGAAACACTTGGAAATTAATAAAGTGGGTGGGGATGCACTTAAGGTTCACTTCCTAGAGATTAGTAATGCATGGGTGGAGATACATCTAATGTTCACCAGGAGGCAAGTGATGAGTGTGTGGAGGTACACCTAAGGGTCACCTACTGTTGAGTACTGAGTGGGCTGAAATACACCTACACTTTAAGGGAATTAATAAATGAGTGGATATACACTTAAGTTTCACCTTCTGCAAGAAAGTCATGAGTGGGTAGTAGTACACCTTAGGCTCACCTGCTGAGAGGGAGAGAGAGAGAGGGGGATTTTAAATGGATTAAGACTCACCTGATATAAGCACAGGAAGAAGGACGAGGAGGAGAGCACCCCATAATAATGACACCATATTATTAGTGGCACACGAGAGCCCCGCTACCTGTTGGAGATCAATACTTTATACCTAGCCAATGTAGCTGAACAATGCTTATGAGTATTACCACACACACTACACTTTATACCTATGTGACTGCTCAATGCCCACCTAGCTACCTCGAGATGACAACCCAATGATGATTCTGGGGATGTCATCCTCATGGCCAGGTCTAAAACTAGGCCTTCTGGTTAACAGCCTGGTCAGTCAGGCTACTGCTGCTTCCTTCATGCAGTTTGATAAAGACACTGCAGTCCAGCTGATCATAACTATTTGCAGGAACTTATTACTTTTCTCTGATGACAAAAAGTCAATAGCAATTTTCCTTATATATATGAATGAAAATGTTGAAAACTCCTGGCTCCTTTATACTTTTTGGGTTATCATATTAGTGTATTTAATGCACCTTTGCTCTTCATTAGAGTATTAGTCACAGTCTACTGTGCCTCCTGCATTTGTAAATTCTAATTTCATCATGCAGATTTAGAACAAATCCCCCCAGTATGTTCTAAGTAAGATATACAATTATTTAGTACGTATCTTTCTTGCCTACATTCCATTGAAAGCAATTTTGAGGGAATTTGCACATGCCCTTTAACCTTAAACTGTCCAAATGTAGAGCTACGTTCACATGCGTAGCGCTCCAAACGTAGATCTAAGTTTTTTTTTTTTTACATGCTTTCAAAATGCATGTGCACTATGCATGTGAAAGTAGCTCTACGTTTGGACAGTTTAAGTGTTTTAACAATATAGGTGGTAAAAATTCTCTGTCTATTCTCCAGATCTTCATTTACTGGTACAAAAACAAGACAGACCATTGTCATGACTAATGGGACAAATAAAAACATTGCTACTTTGTATTGTTATTGTGATCATTCACAAGTGTTATATGTACTTTAATCACCCTCATTACAACAAACAGTTCAGCTGTGTAGCCTGTGTTGGTTGAGCAAAGAAGCATCATATGTATAACATCATTTAGAAGAAGTGACCCATGGAAAGCCTTAAATGTGGTATTCTTAACATTAGGCTGAGTACTTTTTCTGTTGTGATTTGGTAAATTCTGTATAGAGAAATATTTATTTCCTATGTGTAGAATGTGTAGCTTGGCTTACAAGGAAGGAAAAAACAAAAATGAGTAGCTGGGCTTACAAAACAGACAACCCAAAGTAATGTCTCATAACTGTTCTAGCTCTATAATAATTTATATCCTCACTCAAATTGTCTTATATGAAGTACATTTTATTTGGTATTACACATTTCAATACAGAAAGGTTGAGTTTTATGCATTTCACAAATATTTACACTTCTTTACACACATTTTATAGACATTTATACACATTTCTGCACACATAACACTATATTACATGTACCTGATGTTTGTGGGCATGGACATAGCACGCGCCTCTTTGCCTGCCAATCCGTTCTGGTCATAAGAAGTGAGCCATTGGTCACACCCACATTACTCGTTCTGCAGGCAATCACATTAAGTTACAGGTCCCTGCTCCTCTGAAAGAAAATAAATTCACTGTATATAGTTTATTATAGTAGGGATTATCACATAACATACAAAGTAATGGAGAGTCATGAATATCACCAGGATGTACTCACCTAGTTGTGGTTGCAGGGGTCGAGTCATAGCTCTAATGTGCCCACCAGGATGTGTATCAGAATGTACCTGCCTGGATGCCTCTCAGCATCTCTGGTTGAACCAAGGGCTCTCTTGTCTTTAATACTGCCACATCTTCTGGGTATGAGGTTCTCTGCCTCCCAGCATTTTCTAACTAGGTACTCCATGTCATCCACTAACTTTCCTTTGAATTTTCTATCTGCTGCACTGCATTCAGGAATTCTCTCAACCCCTTGAAATTCCTTCTTTTAAAATTTGTTTTCTCGCACTCACCACCAGCTATTCTTCCTTCTACCTTTAGCTCCCCTAAGCACTGTATGATCACTAGCACCCAGGGGACTCGTATTTTTCACCTACATCGGATGTACCTGAGGTAGATACTAGGTCTAGTCTTGCTGGCTCATCTTCTCTTATTGTATCCTGAACATGCTGACTCACGGAGTTTTCTCTAATAACCTTCATCAACTTAACCCTCCACGTTTCTGTTCCCCCATGTGGGTCCCAGTTCTCTTAATCTATATCTTTGTGGTTGAAATTGCCCATGATAAGCGCCTTCGCTTTAGCCTAATGTTCACTCCAACCTGCAGAATCCTGCTATGTCGACCATCACTGCTTTAACCCAATGTGCACTGCTACTACCTGCTTCTGCCAAGATGTCAACCATCGCTTTGTTGGTGCCTTCATATTTCTTCTTGCTCTCCTACTGTTAGGCTGGGGTTGCAGTTGTTGAGTTTTGGCTCCTGGTCCCACCTCTCAGCTGGCCGCTACTGGGCTCACTTTGTCCTGATTGTGCGAGCCTTATCATAAATATTCTTAAAATTATTTATGGATCCTGCCTTTACTACTTCGCTGTCTGGATTAACATTTCCAGGTCACTAAGATTACTATGGCACATTTGTGTTTTAAGGTCCAGCTGTGCCTTCGTGTACCAGAGACCCGCCTCTCACACTCTCCCTTTCTACCCTCTTAATTATTCTCAGTAATTTGTACTTTGTATTCATCTCACCTCTTATTCTTCTGTCTTCCAATGTCGTCAGCTTGAGCTCTTCTAGCTTCTACTCACTGCTCATACCTCTCAGTTCTGCTGCTAGTCTTGTTGCAAACTTTTACACTTTTTTCAGCTTCTGTACGTGATTTATCAGATGCTGGTTCCATACTGGCGCTGCATACTCCAAGACGAGCATGCCACGTGTCGTGTATTATGTCGTGAAAGAGTGCTTGATTCTGCGAGTATTTGTATGCATGTGTATGTGCTTCTGTGCCTGTGTATGAGTGTATTTGTGTTTACGAGTTTGTGTGTGTATACAGGTGTGTGTTGTGTGGGCGCGTTTGTTCCTAAGTCCATATTTGTTAAAACTTAATTAGTACTAGATACTGTCACAAACACACGAGGTGTTATTCCTATTTGTAAATATGCATAGCACATCAGTGTTAGTCTATTTATCCGAGACTCTGAAAGAAAAAAATATTTTAAATTCTCGTTTTACTATGCTAAATCTTAAGTTACACTGTTTGCTCTACTTGCTTCCTCCTATATAATTAACCTATTAAGTGGATAGAAAAACAAGGGGAGTGGAAACATTAATCCTAATACATTGGACTGCCAACATTAATTAACGGCCTGGGTGATCAGGCCCTGATCCACTGGGAGGCCTGGTGTTGCTGGGCCGCGAGGGAGTTGGCCCTCGGAACGACCTTTAGGTACACTCCTGGTAAGTAGACCACTTCCTGAGGTAGTTACATAGTACTGTCTGCTCTCTCCTATGGAGTTGTGCACTTAAATCTCGAGAAGTTCGGGGAAGGGAGCGCACCTGCAGCATCGAATCAAACTCAGAAGAAAAAAAAAATGCCACGACAAAAGGTCTCCCATAATGTAGGCGAGGGCTTCTTCATGCCGAAGTCCAGACGAAACCTACTGATAGTCTATCTCGTGATCCTGGTTTATACGATTTAAACTTCCCATCCTGACACCCTCTTAACGCCTCTCTAAGCCTGCTAAATGTCTGGCACAGTGATTACCTTTATCTTAGGAATACGTAATATAACAGATAAGTCTTACATCTCAGCAGGCTTAGAGAGGCGCTAAGAGGGTGTCAAGATGGGAAGTTGAAATTGCATAAACCAGGATCACCAGATCGACAGCAATAAAGGAATGGAACAGACTGCCTACGCATGTCAAAGCCAGTCATAGCATGAGCCAGTTCAAGAAGAGAACCATAAGGTGGCCTAATGAATGTAGCGACAGAAAGGGAGAATGATTTTTTATTTTTTAGCTAACACACTTGTAAATGTTAACGACTAATTTTACCTTATTCCTATCTCCTTTATACTATAATAATAATATATTATCTCCTTTATATTATAATAAGGTATTAAAAGGGTCCCAATGGAAATAAATCACTGACTTTTTTGGGTTATCCTAGGTTCTCTACACATGTGCTACTATGTATGATAATCTATGTAACTGTATTTGTGTATACCTGAATAAACTTACTTAGTAGGTTTTGTCTGGACTTCGGCACGAAGAAGCTCTCGCCTACATTTTGAGAGACCCTTTGCCATGGCATTTCCCTGTGTTTATTAAGAAAAGCGTTTTACACAGTAGACCACGGCATCCTACTCCACAAATTTGACCACTATGGTATAAGAGGCCATGCGCTTGCATATTTTAAATCCTACCTTTCTAATAGGTATCAGTATGTCACCATTAAAGACACAGCCTCATCAATACGGCCACTTGATACTGGAGTTCCGCAGGGAAGTGTCCTTTGACCCCTGTCTTCCCTATTTACTAAATGAAATTCCAAAAAACCCAAAACCCTGAAACCCATTCTTTTTGCTGACAAACCCGACTTTATTTTCATCCCCCACCCTAATCTTGCCCCCCTCAACACCAGTTAACGAGGGTGCTCAAAATATCGACTTGGATGACAGCCAATAAACTTTAACAAACTGGAAAAAACCACTATATTAGTTGGTACAGAGCAGGGGTTGCGCAACTTAAATTAAACGCAACACCAAATTCCCCAGACATAATGGGGCAAACCTTTGCCTTACCTCGACAACAACTAAATTTTCAGCACCCTATCCAAAACACAAAACAAAAAATACCCAAAAACGGTGGGGACCTCTCCAAGATACGATACTACTGCCGCAAACTGCCTTCTCAACTACCATTATTATTATCCAAACCCATACGCTACGTGCTTGGGGTTCAACTGCGCAACACCCCAAAAGCCAATAAAAACCCAAAAAAAAACAGCAGTAAGAATAATCATTTAAACCCCTTTGGGCAACCCCCCCCCCCCCCCACTCCTATAGATTAAATTACTCCCTGTTCAGAACACCCACACTTACTACTGGCAATTATATCTACAGGCCTTAAATTCCAATTTTAAAACCTTGCCCTAAAATGTTTCTTGAAGTTTGACGGGATCCACAGCATAACCCCAACACAACATCTCACGACTTCCCGTGTTCGACTAAATTTTTACAAAAATTAAATATATTTCCAAGGCCCAAAAAATCGGGAAAACCCCCTCCCTGAAAACTTAAAAACTGATAACATTCATCACTTTCAAAACTAGAGTTAGAAAAATCTATCTCCCTGACCCCCCCCGGGGACAACTAACTACAGAAACCCAAACGGATTTAAATTTTAACTCAATCACCCACTGACTATAACCCCAAAAAATACTAATTTAAATGTAATAAAGTTGGTAGAATTCCGACAATGTAAAGTAAAAGGACACAGTGCAACTAATGTGACATTTATTGTAGAACTTTTTCGCTCTCTCAAGAGCGAAACGTTGCTCAAAAAATGTCACTTAGTTGCACTTTTTCCTTTTACTTTACCAATCTTAATTTAAAAATAATAGTTTAACTAGTCATAATTTGTTTGTACTCCAATATAACCCCTTGTACTGTGCCAAAACAAAAGCATTCAATTGCTAAATCACAAATTATGATGTTCACTTACCCTTAAATCCCATAATCTGAAAGGGGATTTAATTTAAGAATTAATCTAATCTGCTCGAAATCCCTAGCCAGGCAAGTGCCCTAGTGGCCCCTCTGAAATTAGTTTTTTATAACATGTAAACCCCACATTGAAACCCTTATAGAAAAAAAAATTGAATTGATTAAATGAATTTTGGAGGCATATCTGAGCCCCGGGAGCGGGGCCGATACCCGGAAAATGTTTAAAAGATTTTATACATACCAGATTAAAATCGTTGCAGGGCACCATGCTTTAGTTTAGGATACATTATAGTCCTATTTTTTATTTATATTAACACTCACACAGAAAAATTATCGGGGCCCACAAAATAAATAAAAATTTAAAATAAATATATTATATATATTATATATATATATATTAATTATATATATATATATAATATTTTAAAAAGGGCGATGGGGAAAGCTTTACATTATTTTTGGGGGTTGGGGCGTGAAGGAAGCGATGACTCACCCACTCTTAAAAGCAACACTGAGAACTGATGCCACCACCTTTTAAACTGAGGAAGTCTGCAGGAAAATACTGTAATGTTCTTCCCCTGACAGAAAAAAGGACGATTAAAGGGTTTAATAATTACAAACAAGCACCCCAAAAGACGCACGCATCATACAGGGCACATTGGTGTTCAGCACCAAATTACCGTAAAAAATTTGGAGACGTACGTATTTTGGTTAGAATTCAAATGGGGTTTAAGAAAAAAAAAATTTTGAAACACAAGTATGTTTAGGCAAATTCCTCTAAGAAAAAAAAGGCGGGGTAAATGGAAGAAACGACGCTCCCCCTACAGAAAACGACGAAGGTCACTGAGCCCTCAGGGGGTGCTAGAAATCTGATACAAAAGGGGGCGCTGACCAGGGAAGT